TATTAAATGATTTTTTGTAGGAAATCTTTACTTTTATAGGCTATACTGATATATAGACATTAGACAAAAAATAAAAAGGATTTGCATAAAATGTATTTCTACAATTGAAAAAAAGAGGGAACTCATTACAGATACATTCTTGATTAATTCAAGCGTATCATTTCATTTTATTCTGATTACAATCTACTCAAATCTGTGGTAAGAAACAAATAAATCAAGCATGAATTAATGTTTATTTCCCCAATCATTTTTCTCATAATATCAGGTGGGGTGAACATAAATAAACAGTAAAATAAATAAGACATACCAATGGGAAATTTAAGTTGAAAAACTTTACTGTCAAAAACAATTAGACTTACATGTTCAAATAATAAGTGATGTATATGTATAAAATATATTTACAGTTTACAAAATCACATCAAACCTAGATAAGGGTAATTCAAGTCTTGTAATTGCTGAAGCTTAAACTGTTTAAAGCTTTCACCGCTGATTTGAATGGTGAATTATGGATGAATCGAAATGAAAAGATTGCCTCGAAATGATGGGGGTTGGATAATCAGAAACCTTGACAGTTTTCCATTAAGACTATGTCAGTGGTTATATACATTCACTGATATAAGTGGTGACATGTCGCTTTAATGCTAATTTGTGTCTATGTATGGGGAAATCAAACAGATGAAATAAAATGATCGTGTCGTTTGTCTAGTCCTTAGTGCAAATCAAATCCTATCTATCAAGTCCTAATATGACTTCTAGTCTTAGCGAATGGACATTACCTGAAGTACATTTTGACCTTAGGTGGTTGCTAATCGTCTGCAGAAAAACGTAAATTTACAAATTGATCTCATTAGTATCATTTAGCAAGAAGTAACCTCAATGTCGAGGAAACTGATGCTCCTTGTGGGATTCCAGCTCACATTATTGATTTTCCCATTCCGAGAGGTTATCAAGATAAAAATTATCTATAACTTGATGAAAGTTAAAGCTAAATGAGTTTCTCTGCTCACCAACAAAAGAGATGTCAAATAACTGGTAAGAATACGTAATCCTACAAAGGTATCTGATTGTGATATAAAACAAAAAAGAGGGTTGCACAATAAGTACACAACATGTACAGAGGATCACTTATATTGAAATTATATATTACCCTGACTACAGATTGGATATATCGGATGGTCAGTCAGGAACAAAGGAAGCAAACCGATTGCCGAGAATCAGGAGGAGTATGATAAGTGGGTCAAACATCTTGGAGAGTGCTTGAATAGATCAGTGACGCTGAGAACACCGGATACTGGGCTAGCAAATAAAGACCTCCTTGTGAGTGATTTCCTTACCAGCAATAGAAGATACCAAGACCATACTACGAATCAGGAATGCCAACTCCATAGGCCAGTAGGACTAGCTAAAGCACTGAATTCATACATAGATTCAGCTGCAAAGTACTTTCCATAAAGATTTGGAGAAAGCATAAGTAGCAGGAGACTTGTAAAAGTAATACCTGACTCCATCAAACAGTCAACCAAATAAGTGGATGCAAATACCACATAACGATATCAATGGAAATGAGAGCATCATCCAGAATAACAGTAGATGAGAATGTCATATCTTAGTGAATCCGAGAATAAGAAGGTTGAATTTATAATTAATAGAAAAAATAAGGCATTAATGTATTGAATCATGAGGAGATTGATGATAGAATTGCCACAGTTATGGTAAAATTTAAAGGAATAGACCTGACGTTTAACTAGTTCCTACATCTGATTCATAAATTTCCTGAAAAGAGTGATAATTGTGTGTGAAGAACTGCTATATTTTCTATGTGATCATTTCTCAGATAAATTTACCTTCTATGCTTATCTTTAAGCCTTTCATCACATCAAATGACATAAAAAATAATAACATCTTACCAGGCTTCTCACTTTTGTAAAGTTAACTACTCAACACTGCACATAAAGTAAAAATTTCACGAAATTTTCTACTAATAAAATACCTGTCAATCAAAACAGTATGGGTATGTTTTTATATAAAAAGCGATGATAAAGTTGATTGTAATTCGTATCAGTGAAAATCTAATAAGAAATATCCATCTATTGAGGTTGATTTACGTAACAGTATGAACTGAACCAGTTTTCATTATTATTTTATTATTTTATTTCAACACATAGATATTGGTACAAGGAGACACCAAATACATATGCGCCACACGATCTCATTTGATAAGTGTGAGGGCTGTGATACTGCCCGGGTGCCCAAACCTAAGCAGGTGGTTTTCTTAGGGGGCCACACCCCGAGCCTTCGACCTGAATGTCTGACCCAAAAGGCAGTGGAGCATCGTAGGGAGATGCAGTCCCATGGTAGCCGGTGACCAACGATTGGCTCATACGCCATTTGTTCCCTAAGGATACTGGAGCCCATGTGCAGTATTGGTTTGGGATCCGGTTAAAGCGCCGGACATTCGCTTTTCGTCCTCTCATTTTCGTAAATAACACTATCGCCACGAGAAGGCAGTGAGTGGGACTTCCCTGGCAGAGGCTATATACGCGTGGCCATGTGTGAGCATTTTGAGAGGGTGAGCGGACTCTCCCCACTCTCGGCCGTACCAGGGCATTCATGAACATGAACTAATTTTATATTGTTATCTCTAAACAAGTAACTTTTCATATTTTTATCTTGTAATATGTCATTTCACTTTATACAAGAAAATATACGTTTTCGTTTAACTACAACGCATAAAGAAGGTTAAACTTCTCTCTATACAAGCTGATATTGAATAATGATTTAAAATCATATCAAAATTAAAACAAAAGGAAAACATATATATTTCAGCTGTCAACGTCGTTTATTTATTGATAATCGAATTTGAATAATCTCAAGGGTAAATTAGTCAAAATTGTCTTGAAAATGCATAGAATTTATTCGAAATTCATGATCAGAAATACTTTAAAGAACAATAAAGATGATATATCCAATTAAATAAGACAAATACAAACTCTTCACAAAATTAAGTCTGAGGTGATATTTGAAAAATAAAAATATTAAATAAGAGAAGCAGCAGTGAAATGAATATATATATATATATATATATATATATATATATATATATATATATATATATATATATATATATATATATATATATACGAATAATGAAACCTATTATACATAGAAATAATTACAACGGAAAAATCGGAGTAAGTCAACCAAATGCTGAATTCGTTCACAGGATCTTCACAAAAGGTACTGATTGATTTTTTTATTAAATGAATAAATCTAAATTTTAAGTGACACTACTAATACATTCTACTTTGTTTCACAAATATCTCGAAATGTTTATGTAAGAGAAACTTATTACATTCGAAATCTACAAGCTACTAACAGTTTTTCAGTAGGAAATATATATGGTAAAAAAAGGTAGGTTTTTTGATACTAAACACATCGTATTAATATAATAACATGGTTTAAATAATATAGTGTTCTATCTTTAAATGGATTATAAACTTCATTTGAATGACTTTTTAATACTTCAATTTTCATATGTATTTTATTTGCACGTTGCGCAATCACAGTTCTGTTCTCGAATAAGCTGATGGCTAAAAGACCGAAAATTATGAGCAGTATTATTATTATTAATTTATTAGTGGCGAATCAAAAATTTTTATCTCATGGGCAAAAAAAGATGCGCATATCTATCTTGATATAAAGAATGACACATGAGATGAATAAACTTGTTTTCTCTTCAAACATTCTGTTACATTACATTTTGAATAATGAAAACTTCATTTAAATAATTTATAAAATACAGATATATTTCAATATGATGAAATAAACAAAGAAAGACTGTCAACTTTTGTCCGATGACTATAGAAAATACATCTACCACACTGTTTGTTGCATTAAATCTAAATAACCACTACACACAGATCATCTGTGTATTTTCAATTTCTCGATTTACTATTCACAAATAACTGTGTTGATCCACCTAATAAATGTAGAAAAACTTAGGGACTCTGATGACACCACATGCTGATTTCTAACTGTAAATTTTGAGTCAATTTACGTCTATAGTGTAGTGAAGTAATCTTGTGAAACGTAATCTAACATTTCATTCGATCATTGGATAATGAATAAACCTGTGTTGTCCAATGCCCAACCAATTTCTTTATAGGAATTATTACATTGTAGACAGTAAAATAAGCGATTTAAAAAAGCAACCTAGTTTTTAGATAAAAATGAGTTTAGCATCACTTAGAAACATCAGATTCCTTGAGGCTGCGCTTATATCATAATGACTATTACCCAAAATATAAACATTTTGATGAGATTAATGATTAACACTATTGACTAGACAAAGTGATACTGTTCTGTAAACAGTGACCTTAAGGTGCATCACTGTTAAGATCTTTTGATTTCTAGGGAAATATTACACTTAGAAATTATTGTTTAACGTATTAACAAGTTAAAAATATCCATAACTAATGGTTAGAAGAAATGATATTACTAGCGACGACCATATAAAATTTAATTGAAATATATTTGTCATTCTTAACTCTTCCTCTGGTACAAAGATCTGATTATTACAGATAAGAGTTTTGAGGCATAGCACACGTACGTGTAACATAGTCTATTTCACCAGCCATAACCTTATATTATTTCTACATAAGCTTACAAATTTTGTATAAACATGAGGTAAATGTTATAATATAACAGTCTAATGGTTGGTAATCTACTATTTAATGCAGCGAATACTAAATTCAAATCTTATTATAATTAGGGATATCAGAGTATTCCGATGTTACGGACTACTACAGATTGAATAAAATTTGTTCAAAAAAACATTATCCAGTTACATATACAAAGGAATTTTTATACAAGATATTTGGGTTATGTCAATTTAGCTTCTTATCATTACAAACAGATTCGTTTTCATGACCCTTGTATAAGAGGTCGATCGGGGTGATATTTCGGCGTGCGTGCATAAATTCATTATGACTTACGTTTAGTTAAATTTTTCTTTTAAATGAATCCCCAGTACTTGCTAAGTTATTATGAGCAGGATTCGCTTTAATTTTCGGTTTACCTTCAATACGTTTTGCAAAAATTTTTAATTCACTCAAATTTTCAATCAACATTTCATCAGTTCTTTGTCCTGGTGGACGATTTGTCGATGATTTTTTATCGATTGTCTTTACAGGGCGAATAGGTGTGTTATCAATCGGACATGTTGATGACCTAACATGATTAAGCATAAAAACAAATCAATAATTTAAAAGTTTAATTTATGAGTCAATTAAAGCTAGACCACCATAGAAAATCTGGAAGCACTGGACGTCTGTTTCGTCTAGGTATGGGACTCCTCAGCAGTGAGCAACGCGGTCTCGTGAGCGAGTGCCTAACCTCGATCGTGGTCTAGAAGTATCATGAATCGACGAATGTTAGACCACGATGTCAGGTACAGACGGGTATCTACCTCAGACAATGGAAGATGGTCGCGCAATTCCGTGGGTCGGTTGAAGTTAAACATTAACACCGTTGGATGTCGGCTCAGAGGTCTAGAGGTTATGCGTTCGCTCGAGGAACCGATGAGTCCTGGGTTCGAATCCCGCGAGCGGGGTGGTGGATACAAACAGCTGAGTTCCATACTAGGACAAAACGGCTTTCCAGTGATTCCAGGTTTTCCTTGGCGGTCTAGCTATAATTGAATCACGAATTAAACTATTGAATTACCATAATATTCACAAAACCCCTTTTTGATTACAAACCAATAGCTTTGAAACCATTCGAGTGGTCAGAAAAATATAGTATATTTAGATTTAGTTATTGTCATAAAACTAGATAAGCCTTCAGTTTACTTGTGCTTTGTAGGGAAATAGTATCGAATGGAGAAATCATGTACATATGTGAGCACTTACTTACTCGCTTACGTGTTATATCCTGACGAGAACTATGGATGGTAACCTTTGAGAACTATTTACAGACCAATACGACTTATATATTTTTAGTGTATAATTGTTAAGTAGCTAAACTACGTATATTCATGTTCCCCCTATCATAAACTTTATTTTGACCCACAGACTATTTTAATGCGATTTAACGTTCTTGAGTTATGCCTTCTCTACTCTTGAGTTATGCCCAGTCTATTAACTACAGTCACCTACATTCACAACCAATTTTGGTTAGATCTTGTACAAATGTTATTTTTTCTTTTATGGTACGATGTGGTCTGTTTGATTTGTATATAAACAGAGTATGTTTGAAATACATGATAATATCGCGGAGGCTAAGTTTGGTGTTCTGGACTCAACAGGCAGGGCTAGGTAGGAAGAAGGACCGATAAGGACTCTAGACTGCTCGTACGCGTTTATGCGTCATTGGTCCGGTCGATAAATCACTGTTCTCTAATTGGCGGTATCATTACATTATATATTAATAGAGTACAAGGCTACAAGTCATAACACTAATAAAAAGATAACTTTTGTCAACTAGTAGCTTGATTCTTGAACAATATATCGATTCCGGCTATGCAGTGTCATCCGAAGTTTTAAAATTATCTAGCAGATCAAAAAACTGAATTCAAATGAAAGGTGTATCAAAAACTTGTGCAGAAGAGAGCTTTAATTTGTTCGTGCGTTCATTCATAAGAGATATGTTTGATATTTCATTCTATCATAACAATAAGCCTTCTTATCTTCATATGCATACTATATTACCACTAGACTTTCTTCTTGAAATTCGTTAAGAGAACAACTAATCGTTACACTTTTCAATTAAAAACTGTCTTCATTTTACTACTTCTTATCACTCTTGAAAGCATCACAGAACGTTTTTCTGATACCAGAAATTTCCGAACACTTTGCCAATAACCTAAGACCAGTCTGTTTTATAGCAGATTACTGTGTGTAAAATAATTATAAATAATAAATTGATATCACAAATGGATCAATGTAAGAAAACCATTGAAAACGTGGAAGCACTGGACGACCGTTTCTTCCTAGCATGGGACTACTCATCAGTGCACATCCACGATCCCAGGACCTTCGATTTCGTGCACGAACAATTAACCTATAGACCACTGAGCCGACGGTATTAATGTCTCACTTCAACCAATCCACTATAAGTATGATTATCCAGCTTTATTAAATGTTCTCGTCGAAAATAAAAATTTCATTTTTAGATATACACGCGTATATTATCTGTATATCTTTTTTTCAACAGTTAACTTATGATTCGTATAAATTAACTTTTATCCCATTAATTGACGAACTTACTTATGAAGCAGCCACGGATCGATACAATGTGAATGAAAAATATGTTGACAGCCTGGTGACAGTCGTCTAACTTTATCATTTACTTTAAAAAACATTAAACAAAGAAGACATTGATGACCTGGTGATAACAATCCCATCGTAAATAATGTCCCAGAACGCTCTGAAAACAAATTATAACTTGTCGATGACTTTCCTTTCACAGATTTAATTTTATTATCACTATTAATTTCTTTATCCCACGATTTTGATGAGATGAGATCAGAATGATTCCTTGGAATTCTAATTGTCCACTGACGAATTTGAGCTAGTTCGGCTAATTGAAGAGGTTTCCATTCTTCGTTAATTGGAAAATGGTTGAATTTTTCTGTTGAGCTTAAAAGATGTAAAAAATACACAATCGAAATCATTTTAAGTCTTAATTCAGGATTCCGTAACTTCTGAAACAATCATGAAAAAAAACTAAAGTAGTTGCATTTAGAAACCAAATAGTATTATCGGGCATTAAAAACGATATTTTGAAACATGGTATTGAAGCAATAATCTATAAGTATTAAGGAAGATACATGACAAAATTCTATTTTCGTTAACCTATCAAGCCCCGAAATGCCCTGGTAGGGACAGTCAGCTCTCCTTACCGAAACGCTCTCAAGTGGCCACGTGCATTCAACCACTGCCAGGGAAGTCCTACTCATTGCCTTCTCGAGGTGGGGGTGTTGTTTACGAAATTGAGAGGACGAAAAGCGAAAATCCGACGCTTTATCCAGGTTGGTGGATATGGAGGATCCACCTAAAGGAGTTGGAAAACTCTGATTCCAAATCAAAGATGTACATGGGCTCGAGGATTCTGAGGGAACAAATGGAGTATGAACAAATTGTTGGCCACCGGCTACCATGGGACTGCATCTCCTAACGTTGCTCCACTGCCTTGTAGATTAGACCATTAGGTCGAAGGCTAAAGTTGTATCCCCTTAAGAAAACCACCAATTTGGTTTGGACACGAGGGTAATATCACAGCCCACACACAAATCAAGTGACTTATGTAGCGCATATGTACTTGGTGCCCGTTTTTACCAATTTTTATGTGTTTAAATAATAAATAAATAATGCATTATTGTAATATATTTATTTCACAATGTTTCAAGATGTTATCTAATGTATTTATTGACTTAAAGTGAAATATCATTATATCTAAAAGAAAAGATGAAATATAGTTAGGAAAATGTTTACTTCATCATATAGGTAAATAATAAGTATTTATGATAGGGACTAGAAATTTTTACATACAGAATAAGTTAAATTGATACGTTGCAGAAAATTAGCAATCAAAACCAATTATAGGCAACTTTTAGACAGTTAAAATGATATGTAGTTCAATAGACGCAATGAAATTAATTGTATTCTGAGATACCTAGTTCAAATTTATATCATTTCAGTCAGTCAGTCAGTCAGTCAGTCAGTCAGTAACAACGTGGAACTTCGTACGTACGTACATCAGTTCGAGTTGCCATACCACATTAGCACAGAGATTCAGTTATCGATTCAAATCCCGTAGTGGTAGAGGTAGTGATAGGGAACATTAAGGTTTGATGCTATTTAAGGAGTATAGTCCAGTGGAAAAGATTTGGAAAGAAGATAAAGGACATGAAGAATACAGAAGATTAGAGTTTGAGAGAACACAGAGAGTGGATGCACCTGCGCCATTGCAAACGATTTTGAGCCATGTCATTCAAGGTCTCTAATCATCGGTTGCTATCGTCTCGCGGTCCCCAACCAGGCAGTCTACACCTACCAACATGACTCAGTCCACTTGTCAGTGAATTCATGGATTTGTGCCATGTTTTGGTCTGGCCGCCCCTAGCTTTCTTCCAACCTACTCCTACACCAGAAAACATAGCACGTCGAGGCGGTCGACAAGCTCAACTACTTCACTCCCTATCACTAGTTCGGGTGTCGACGCAACCCAATCCTGAAGCAACATTTTGCATTTCGAGGGAGAAAATCGCATGCCGAACATACCTGCATTGTTGCTTAGAGTGGTCAGCAGACTCTGCATTCTGTCAGCGTCTTCACTAAATAGAACTATGTCATCGGCGTATTCTAAGTCAACAAGTGGATCTCCCGGTAGAAGTTCAACTCCTGGAAATTTAGATGAGGAAAGTGTCATATCTAAAAGGACGTCAACGACAAAGTTAAACAAGAATGGAGAGAGTGGACAGCCCTGACGAACATCACTTGAGGTAATCAATTCTGATGACAGTTCGCCATAAGTTCTCACTCGACCAGTTGTGTTCGACTAGAGAGCCTTTATAAGGTTGATGTACTTCTTTGGTACTCCCTTCAGTGACAAACACTGCCATAGAACCTCACGATCAACAGAGTCAAATGCCGCCTTAAGGTCGAGAAATACTACCATTGTGGGACGTCTGAATGTGTGTCTATGTTCTAGGACCTGACGTAATGTGAATATTTGATCAATACAACCACGTTCAGGTCGAAAACCAGCCTGGTTTTCTCTAGTCTGCTCTTCACGAGCTTTGGTTAGACGTCGAAGTATTATTGAAGCTAATATTTTAGACAATATATTAGTCAAACTAATTCCTCTGCGATTGTCACAGAAGGACTTTTGTCCTTTCCTATAGACTGGTACAATCAGTGATTGAGACCAGTCTGATGGGATTACGTCCAGTTCCCAGATTCTACCTAAGACCTCAGTCAATCTCGCTGCTAATACTGGACCTACTTACTTACTTACGCCTGTTACTCCTCGTGAAGGAGCATAGGCCGCTCACCAGCATTCTCCATCCAACCCTGTCCTGGGCAATCCTTTCAAGCTCTTTCCAGTTCTTATTCATCCTTTTCATATCTGCTTCTATTTCCCGACGTAATGTGTTCTTTAGCCTTCCTCTTTTCCGCTTCCCTTCAGGATTCCAAGTTAGCGCTTGTCTCGTAATGCAGTTTGATGATTTCCTCAATGTATGTCCTATCCATTTCAATCGTCTTTTCCTAATTTCCTCTTCAGCTGGATGCTGGTTGGTTCTCTCCCACAAAAGGCTGTTGCTGATGGTATCCGGCCAATGGATGTTGAGTATCATGCGTAGACAGCTATTAATAAATACCTGTACCTTCTTGATGGTGGTTGTTGTAGTTCTCCACGTTTCAGCTCCGTACAGTAGAACTGCCTTGACGTTCGTATTGAAGATTCTGACTTTGATATTGGTTGACAGACAGTTGTTTTGAGTTCCATATGTTCTTCAGTTGAAGGAATGCCGCTCTAGCTTTGCCAATCCTCACCTTGACGTCTGCATCTGAACCTCCTTGTTTATCGACGATGCTTCCCAGGTATGTGAAGGATTCCACATCTTCCAGAGTTTCGCCATCAAGAGTGATTGGATTGCTGTTCTCCGTGTTGTGTTCGAGGACCTTGGTTTTCCCTTTGTGTATGTTGAGGCCTACTGATGCAGAGATTGCTGCTATGCTGGCTGTCTTTATCTGCATTTGTTCGTGTGTATGTGATAGGAGGGCTAGGTCATCTGCGAAGTCCAAGTCGTCTAATTGGTTCTGAGCTGTCCATTGTATGCCGTGTTTCCCCTCATATGTCGAGGTCTTCATAATTCAGTCGACCACCAGAAGAAAGAGGAAGGGAGAGAGTAGACAGCCTTGTCTTACTCCGGTCCTTACTTGGAATGCGCCTGTCAGCTGTCCTCCATGCACTACTTTGCACTGTAGTCCATCGTATGAGTTCCGGATAATGTTGACAATCTTCTCAGGAACTCCGTAGTGTCGAAGAATTTTCCATAACGTTCTCCTATCTACACTGTCAAATGCCTTCTCATAATCAATGAAGTTGATGTAGAGTGACGAGTTCCACTCAATTGATTGTTCGACGATGATCCGTAGTGTCGCAATCTGGTCTGTGCACGACCGGTCCTTACGGAATCCAGCTTGTTGATCTCGAAGTTGAGCGTCTACTGCGTCTTTCAACTTGTTCAGTAACACTCTGTTGAAGACTTTACCTGGTATTGACAGTAGTGTAATGCCTTTGTAGGTTTCACACTTGCTCAGATCTCCTTTCTTTGGAATCTTGATGAGGTGTCCTTCTTTCCAATCCATCGGCACTTGTTCCTCCTCCCAAATCTTCTTGAATAGAAGATGAAGCATGCTTGTACTTACTTCGATGTCTGACTTAAGTGCTTCAGCTGGTATATTGTCAGGTCCTGCTGCTTTCCCCCTCTTGATTTTTCTGATGGCCATTCTGATTTCTTCTGTCGTTGGTGGATTGACATTTATAGGAAGATCTGTGTGTGCTGCTTCGATGTCCCGTGGATTCATTGGAGCCGGCCTGTTCAGGAGTTCCTCGAAGTACTCTGCCCATCTGTTCCGCTGTTGTTGAATCTCAGTGATTGGTCTTCCTTCTTTGTCTTTGACTGGTCTCTCTGGTTTACTGTATTTCCCTGCAAGCTTCTTCGTCGTATCGTAAAGCTGTTTCATATTTCCTTCTCTTGCAGCTTTCCCCGCCGTCGTTGCTAGTTCTTCCACGTATTTCTGCTTGTCAGCTCTAATGCTCTTCTTCACTTGCTTGTTTGCTTCTATGTACTCAGCTTGTGCTTGGACTTTCTCTGCTCGTGTTCGACTGTTGTTAATTGCTGTCTTCTTGTTCTTTCCTTCTTTGATCCTGTCCAGTGTTTCTGTAGAGATCCATTCCTCGTGAAGATGCTTCTCGGGGCCCAGAACCTCTTCACACGTTGAAGTTAATGTTTCTTTGATGCCTTTCCAGTTATCCTCCATAGTAGTTTCTTCTTCCTTCAGTAGGTCCTGTAAGGCTTGGAACCTATTGTTGAGAGCTACCTTGAATTCATTGAGTTTGTCAGTATCTCGAAGGAAGGCTGTATTGAACCTTTGTAGTGCTGTTTGTTCATTTGTCCAGTTCTTCTTTAGCTTCAGTTTTAAATTGGCCACAACCAGGTGGTGATCTGAAGCTATGTTCGTTCCTCTCCTGGTCCTCACTGTTGGGGTATTCAGAAAATACCCCAGAAATTATCTAATGCTATTCCTGAATGACAAATAGTGTCATTTCCCCATTGGTCAACATTCTTCCAACGTGTCATCTCCTTATTGGTCAATATTTATTTGTGTCATTTCCTGAAGGTTAAATCTTATACAAATGTTACTTTCTATTTTATGTTACGATGTAGTCTGTTTGATTGCTATATAAACAGAGTATGTTTGAAATATAATGATTCATATCTCCGAGGCTGAGACTTATGTTCTGGACTCAATTGGCTGGGCTAGACAGGGAAGCAGGACCAATCAGGACTCTAGGCTGCTCGCTCGTGTTTTATGCATCACTGTTTCGATCGATAATAGGCTGCTCTCTAATAGGCGGATCACACGTTATAACACTCACATCTTCCATTGTCCTTCGGAACTTTTTATTGATGCAAATATGATCTGTCTGGTTCTCTGTGGTGTGGTGTGGCCCAGTGAGATCCATGTAGCTTTGTGTATACGTTTGTGTGGAAATGTTGTACCGCCTATGACCAATTTATTGAATGCACACAGATTTGCAAATCCTTCCCCGTTTTCGTTTCTCTCTCCCAGTCCATGTAGTTCCATGATGTCTTCATATCCGGTGTTGTCCATTTCGACTTTGGCGTTTAGATCTCCCATCAGAATGGTGAGGTCCTTTCTTGGGCACTTCTCTATGATTGATTGCAGCCTCTCATAGAATTGATCTTTAACGTCGTCGTTGCTATCATTGGTGGGTGCATAACATTGGATAATGTTCATTGTGATCCCCTCCTTCTTTGTTTTGAATGATGCTTTGATGATTCTAGATCCGTGAGATTCCCATCCTACAAGTGCATTTTGTGCTACTTTGGACAGCATTAGAGCAACTCCCTGAATGTGTGGATCATTTTCCTCTTTGTGACCGGAGTATAGCAACATCTCTTCCGTATTTAGCCTTTGTTGTCCAGCTTCGGTCCAATGGGTTTCACTGATTCCCAGCACTGCCAAGTTGTATCTCCTCATTTCCGTTGCTGTTTGACTGGTCTTTCCGGTCTCCCACATTGTCCGGACGTTCCATGTACCTATAAAAATTGTTGCTCTGGTTGTTAGAAGGGGCATCGGCCTTGTGGCTTCCGAAGGAACTCGGCTTTCACCATGAAGCGTCATATTTCTTCTTGCTCACAGGGCAGAGTTTAAATGGTTTGAGTTATTTTTTCTGGTTAGCGTTTTTTTAGCGAGTTAGTTTTCTACGGGATGGGGACGCTAACCCCATGCCCAACCATCCTCCTTTATCCGGGCTTGGGACCGGCAGTAGCCCCCCGAAAGGGACTCCAAGCGGAGTTTAATACTGGACCGCCATACTTAAAAATCTCAGGGGTAAACCTGTCAGGGCCTGCTGCTCTCCCACGCTTTAGATTTCCTATAGCTTTTTCAACTTCGTAAAGAGTCGGAGGACTTACATCAACTTGCAATTCAGGTAGCTTGTAGATCGTGGGAAACCGAAGTGTGGCTGAAGGCCAGTTGAACTGATCCCTAAAGTGTTCTGCCCATCGATCCAATCTCCTGGATTGAGAATGAATAATATGTCCATCTTTCTCTGAGATTGTTTCGCTAACAGTTGGGTTCCTAATCCCGGTTTCCTTAACAAGTCTGAACAGTTGCCTGCTGTTACCTATTGCCACTGCCTTTTCCATCTCTCTTGCTTTCGCTGCCCACCACTGTTCACGATCTTTCGTAGGCTTCTAGTCAGCTTACGCTTAAGCTGACTCCGGTCTTCGTTATGTTCAGAGCCAGATGGAATGAGTTTTCGAGCATCTATCAGTGCGGTAGACGCTGCTGAGATCCAGTGTTTCTCCCTAACCTTATGGTTTACCGTACTTGCAGACATCATTGCTGTTTCTACAGATTTTCAGATGTCAATCCACGCTGCCTCGGGGTGGGCATCACTTACATGGCTGTCTAACTGTTTTTCTAGATGTTCCTGAAATATACTCTTAGCTTGACTATCATTAAGTAGGACCCTAAGGGGTTTCCTTGCAGCATGTTTCCTACGTCCAGTAAGACGTAGACAAATACGCGCTCGCACCAGAGCATGATCTGAGTCTAAGCATGTGCTCCAGAATGAGCGACAGTCTTCTATCGAGCCCCTCCATCGGTAGCTGATGGCGATGTGATCTATTTGGGTCCAGCGTTGAGACGAATTAGGGGGTCGCCATGTTAAAAGATGTTTTTCTTTATGCTTAAAGTTAGTGTTTGCAAGAAACAGGCGGTTATCTGAGCATAGCTGCAACAGACGGTCGCCATTATCAGTTCTTTGAACCGCGACACCATAAGATCCACCCAGGTGTCTTTCCCTTTCGCTTAGTTTACCTACTTGGGCATTAAAATCACCAGCCACTATTACTACATCTGAACGCCTAGCTTTTCGGAGAAGGTCGGAAAGCTTTCTGTAAAACTCATCTTTTACATCATCTGAGCTGCAGTCAGTGGGAGAGTAGGCAGAGACGACGAAGAGGCAACGACGAGTGTCCCTATCTTTTCGAGTCCTTACTGTTCCGTTTAGTCGGACAACACACAAACGACTGTCTACTGGGATCCAGTCTAAGAGAGCTAGTTCTGCCCTAGGACTCAATGCTATAGCTACGTCAGCGAGGCCACAGGAAGCAGCATCAGGGCTTCCAGATACACGAAGCGTAAATCGAGTTAGTTCGTTACTTTAACATGGTGCGGTCAAATGAATGACACTACTAGGATCCTGTGTGCGCGTTTCGGGTTTGGTTGAATAATTAAATTTTGATGGCTCAAATCTGTGAACCGAAAATGTAGAGGAATACTTGAAGAACACTAAAGAGATGAACTACATACCACACCACTTTTGACAATATGATGAATACTGTAAACTGTAAAGCATAAACAAAAACATTCATCATTTATTCTGAACTGATTCGATTCCAACCAACGAAAGCGATCAGTCATTGAAAATCATTGTGTTAATCCACACTATCGTGACTGAACGAATGCTGTTGAATTTATCAAAAAGCTCGGTCACAGATTAGTAAACATGTCTATGATTGAGAAAAAATAAACTCAATCAACTACAATGAAAAACATTCAGTATTTTGTGGAAATTCCTATGTAAAGTTACATTAACAACGAAGATTAATATATTATTGAAAGCTCTGTCATAAATAACTATACAGAAAGTATACCAAACTTATTTAACATTTTTTCTAAGCCATAAATATTTACTACCATATTTTTCTTAATACTGGTATTCATTGAAAAGAAATCAACTTCCGCGATTATCCAGTAAGTGAGTCATCTTCAAGCGTAATACAAAGGAACTTTTCATAATACCATTATTAAACATACCTTGACTGAAGCTTTTCATTGTCTTCTTGAACTTTGCTGACTAACTGTCCAGAGATATTTATAATAGCACCTCGATTAGGTGGTACTTCAAGCCATTTTCCGTGTGATGTCTTAAGGACAAAATTGGAAACTTGTTTTATTTAATTAGTTGAATATAAAATATTTACTGAAAATATGAAAATCATTAGTCAAACCTGAGCAAGATTATAAAAATTCAACCATATCAGTAGTCCTCGGTCGTTTTAATCTGTAAAGTGTTTTGTTTAGAGAGCAAGTTTTCATAATGAACTGAAACTAACTGAAGAAAATTCATCGGTACTAGACACTTATTTCATCTTATCTCCCGACTGTCCAGTGATGCCCGCCCACCAGAACAGACCTAATCGAGCTCAGGACATGTATATGTTGAGGAAGATATGTTATCTTTAAACCACAGAATGAAGATATGATAGTAAACATTCTCAACTTCTGCTCATTCGCCTTGCTCTTGAACTTTCTATGTTGGCTGTAGTCCTTTGGCTCAGCCACAGTGACACAGGATTGATTATCTGTAAGATGTAGTTTTACGTTGCGACAGTTAATATCTTATCTTCTCTTCATTACTTTAGTGTAAGCAGATCAATATCACTGAAAAGTTAGCTAACACAAACAATATATTTTCATTTCATTGATGCTTCAAAACTTATTTTATTCGAAAACAACTTGATATAAAATCTCAATTAGCAGCTATCTGATGTTCTTTATATATAACCAGTACAGTGCGAAATGTAGTAAAAATTCGTACACTTAATAAGCATAGCTTCATAAAAATGTAGAACAAATTAATTACAAGTGATCGGCAGATAAATAAACTCATTATTCTTTTTTTTTTCCTGCAATTTGTTCAAGAAATAAATGGATGGATAAATTCAGTGGATGTTAAACATTTTGCAAAAAGGATTTATCTGTCCATTAAACTAACCTTTAAATGATGATAACACTTCATTTATTACGAAAATCCAGTTCGACAATGATTCCTAACTAGTGATAGCTAAATTATAGATCTGGATTCTTGAAGTCTTACCAGTCATGGAGAATAATTATTTTAAATAGAAATCAATTATATCCATTGATAATCAGTTTTTTTATCTAAAGTTTGATTTGTTTAACAAATTTTTTAACAATTCGAAGAGTCATTTAAAACTAGGTCAGTTCTATAAGTCAAGGATCTTCATTAGAACCTTGGAAAGTCCTTCTTGATATCAGTTAAAGCTGTTGTCTCCGACTTTATATGAAGCTGTGAGTAATACTTCAGTGAAATATCACACTAGTCAAAATCAACTATTCTTCATCTTTTATTATTTAGTAACTGGAATCATCTTCAACTTATTCTAAGTTTCCATAAAACTACCTAATTAACACTAAATCAGTATATTTCAGTTTCGATTAAATTAGAGAGAAAAAATTTTATACCAACATAATTAAAACTATCATACCTCTCTATAAACATATAGATTATGTTGTAAATGCTTATCAGAACGAAAACACAGTGAACATAAAAATGGATTTAAATTTTCATCTTCTCCTAATTGATAGCATATTTCACAACGATAAATATTACCTAATATTGGCGAGCATAAACATGATAAACATCGTGTATTTGAATGTCTTGCTTGCATTGTTTCGATATCCAGTTTTCTCTGCGCATCGTTTGCTTGACCAATAATGGTCATATTGTGAACATGTTTAGGTTCAGTAGACTTTTTAATATCTTTTCTCACGTTTTCTGTAAATTCCCGAATAAGAACATGTAAGGGTGCAAAATCCTCTCGACAAATAGGACATTTTACGTAATCCATTAATCCTGGCATAAAAACACGAAAATAACTGAAAGTTTGTAGAATCTTTTAGACGTAAACTATTTGCCATCATGTTGATAATAATAGTACACAATATTATTAACAAGTGGAACTTTACAATGAATACTTCATTCATTTCTGTCTAGATGCATCTTATAATTCATGGTTAATCAACTATATACAACCAATACAAAATAGACTCCAAGCAGACATATAATTGACGCTCATTTTATCACATATTTCAAAGTGAGTACCTGCATATTATTTAGCGAAGATTTATGAAAACTACGTTTTAGTAACACTTTTACTATCAGTGCGTTAATATGCTCTACTAATAGTGTATCTGCTAGACAAACTACAGGTAAGAACCTGTTTAATAACAAGTAGCTGGATAAACTTTGAAGAAATACAGTTTATCAAGTAGTAAAATGAACCACATATGTGCGAAAAGTTCAGAGTTCCCTTTGATATAATATTAATGGTCGTTAAACTATCACTTGGTGAAATCATGAACACTATTTGCTGGCACTCTGAAATCCTGAACCGATCAACATAGAGCTAAAACACTTACTATCTATGTACTTAAATGATATTCAGTTTACATTCGACAACACTCTACCACCCAACTGAAAGAGTATTACAGGAGTATTTCTTGAGTGTACATTATCATCTAAAGATGAGATACCTCAAACAAGAGTTTGAAGAAAAGGTACCTTAGTTTAAGCATGTCGACAACACATTAAACATGTGTAGCAACCATCAACGTGTACCTCTAGATTAAAACTTTATAACAAGATAGCAACTATATGCCTTCTTTGAGACATAAAAAGGACGATAATTTCAACATTTTTGAAAGCCATCACTCCATGAATTATAGACAATACTAATGAAAACCAAACGTGAAATGAATTCTGGTTCAAATTGTTTGTCAAGAGTGTTTTGTAAAATAACGAAGGAAACTATGTTTCTTATAGATTTTCAGGTGTAAACTTGCCTGCTTTTTCACCCATATACAAAAATATGTAGCTGACTGTTGTGAACTGTATAACTTCGCAGCAATCATTTTCTAATCTGTGTTGTCTGTTAATCTATGTACTTATACGTATATATACTTCAACTGGTGGAAGTTTCTTCTCATGGGTGGAGATAAAATTACTATTACGGAAAATAAACATGTTCTTTCATCTTTCTGTTGCTGGTAACCTTATGACAGGGAAACCATAACCAAACCTTGATTAAGAAGTTTTGAATCAAACATACTGTTATTCGAAATGAAAATCCAATCGGCATAGTAAATTCTCAGACTATTCACAAAATTATTTATTCTATTTCAAAAACCTTTCAGTAAAAGTAAAGAAAAGCAAAATTTATGGTGCGCTTTGTACAATAATGTGACTGTGGACCTTCATTAGTTTGAGTAAAATTGGAGAGCTGAATTCCAAAACAGTAGTCGGTTTCAATTAGTCTATAATAGTCCTAGTTAGTAAAACTATATGAAAAGTAAACATATGTTTATTACCACATGTAAACCTCAATTTCCACCAAATACATGAACACCTTTTTGGTAACAGTAGTTTTATAAACTGACATTCGAATGCGTTTTGTGCTCTGTTTTTGCTAGTTGATCAGCTGATAAGTTAAAGCTCTCATTAAACTAGTGAATACTAAAACAATGACTTAAAGTAAATTCAGCAGTGAGGTGTGTACATAAAAGTAAATTGAGGATTGCCTATAAGTTAGTTCATCATGCTTAAGGTACGTTTTGTATACCTATGATAAACTGTATTACAATATAACCATTTTAAACAATTCGGGTTTGCCCGAAAATTTATTGTAAGAAAATTTTGAATTATAAAAACAAGTTTATTTGTTAAAATACTGTGCATCTAACTAGTCGCTGATTTCACACACAAGCACTCCGTTTCTTTTTTAAAAGAAAGGCCTCATATGTGATGACAGTTAAATAAGATGAGAAGTCATTCTTTTCAACATCAAACTAATTTTATCATACAAAAAGTTAAAATTATCAATCGTAATTTGATTTCCAAATTTGATTTACACGTAATCTCTGCAGCAGTCTATGCGAAATTCTACAAAGCAAGTATGAAAATTCTTTTAGACAAGAATTTCTAATGATTTCATAGTTGCATACCTAGTTATTATTATTATTACACCTATACCTTTTAACAACATTGAAAATGATACTGATTGATAACACGAGTAATTTTTCTCCCACAAAACCTGATATTCCAGTCAATAATGAATATTAAAGTTTTGAAATTTCGGTCTCAATTATTTCAAAACGAAAAATTATCTTCGGGACAATTTTCAAAATCCCGCTTACCTAAATGGTTTTGTTTTCTTTGATAATCTGTCCATACTTTCATACATCGTATATGTAGACTGTTACCACAATTTTTACGGCAGAATGTTACTGGAAGTCGTACTTGAGAAAAAAGGTAATCTTGGCATATTGAGCAAATATCGTTTTCTCCAATTTGGCGTTGTAGGCTATATGAAGGCTAACTAAGTTAAAGATATGTAATACACATACCTTTTCATCAAACTTATCCTCATTCAGAGGTTTAGGCTCATTTACATTTGTGATGTTATTTGTTACTGAATGCTGTCCGTCTAAAAGAGCTGATATTTCTCGTTCAACTAATCCAGGCTGCCAAGATACTAAACAAAAGTCAGTAACCTATTTTTCATATACCAGGATTATTTGGGTCTACTTTGAATCGTCTAATTAACATCCAGCATAAATGAACACATAGTTCACGATTTTTGGTAAAGTCACTACATGAGCAGGTATGAACATCACCGAGTTGTACCTAATGCAATAGGTTTAAACATTTTTAGGCCCACCTTATATTTTTGCTTTGAACCGTCTTGTAGCAAGTAAAATGTTGGTCCATACTGTTTTAAAATGTATAGTGTGGAGTTTCGTGCTTCTTCTTGATTTCTTCTAACAATATCCGGGCGTTTAATTTGATGGCTAATGTAGTTTGACATGTGTTTGTTTCAGTATCACTTCGTACCGTAATCCAGTTTTCAAAATCAAATTATCTGTTCATCATTGTTAAACAATAAGTAAATTCTATGATGAAAACAAAACGGACTCTATGGACTACTTGAAAAATAAAAGTGTTTTTGCATAAACAAAGCAAAACTTCCATGAATGAAACTCCTAAATAATTCAAATAATCTGACCTTTATCATAAACACCAGTTTAGACTCGTAACTGAAAATCTTTATGTTACCAGACCTACTTAAAGAATAAAGTTTCTAGTATTAAATCTTGACCCGGTAGTAAGTTGGTCGATTGAATTCAGCCACCACCGATCATTTGACGAATAGAACACTCTTCAAACGTCAGTAATCAATAATTGTGAAAAATTCAGTTTTGAAGGACAACAATTGTTACCCAAGTACCTTAATAGCAACGCTTTTAGCTGCGGCACTAGATAATGTGAATCCAAATAGGACGGGGATTATTAATGTACCAGCATTTCAGACAAACCTTGTTGATGACCTTTGAACAACATAAATCACACATTCAGGGTTTCCTATTGTTTTCAGACACTTCATTAAATTGTATCCTTTATCTTATCCATACATTTTTCTGATGTTTACGGTTATTCAGAAGTTTGACAGTCGATAACTGTAGTTATAAATTACTTATTTTGTTTGATTTTTCATATATTTATCGACGAAGATGAATACTTCCATATAATCAAGAAACACTAAATGCGATGGTTTTCACAGTTTTAGCATGATCGTACAGCAAACATGGTAAATTATGGGCCACATATTGTTTTGAACCTGTCTTCTTCACTTCAATTAAGTAATCTAAACATTTCTGAGGAATTGAGGAAAAACTAAAGGCTTCTTTTCAGCAAACGTTTGCGCCTGCAACTATAAAATGGGCTCGAAATAAAACTTTGAAGATATTTAACTGGTATATGGTCTGCAATGTTTTATTTCACGCTTTCCGCCGAAGTCCTGATAAGTGGAATGAACGGTATCTTACATTTAACCTCATGATGCATGAGCACTAAAACGACAGTTATGGAACTTCACGCAGAAGACACAGATATAATTTGAGATTCTTGAAATCAAAAATTGAAAGCACTTCTCATATTTGCAGCGGTAAATAAATCCTCAGAATAAATAGTTCTGTAAGTCTTAAACATTGATGCTGATCAATCATGCACTCAACATAAGTACGTTTATTCTTTCTTCCTCTGTGACATAGCAATAGTTCTGGAAACTGTCTGGCAAACAGGATTAAATACTAATTTTATCATTAATTTGCGACGATGAGCTCCAGATAATTTTGATAAGTACACATAAACGTGTAGTTATATCAAAAGGTGAGAGATATGTTATGCTAAATTCTCCAAGTCATTCAGTCAACATATTCGTTTAACCAAACGTTTGCATTTGGAACAAAACATGGGGAGAGTTAAACAAATTAAGTTTGAAGCTAAGGGTTCCATAGTTTCAATTAACTGCGGAAAAATGCTTCCACGTTATGCTTTTTTTCAATTAACGCATATTAGATCCTGAGAGATCTCATGAAAATAACTTACCTGGGAAAGGGTTTACCGCCCGATCTCCCCATTTTGGCGTTTTTGTGCCATTTTCCCAGAATTTTCTATGGCGGCTCTCCCAAAATTTCCTCAAAATGGGTAAAATGTTCTCCGAAATTGGAAGATTGGGCAGCCAATCAGTCTACAGATAGTCAACTCTATAGAGTTGACTAGGAACACTATTATCAACATAATTTTCCCGTATCAAATTTTAACGATATATGCTTTTAGAAACTTAAATCTGTCGTTATTTTTCAATAAGACCGGCCGTCTAAAGAATTGAAAAAGTACTCGACTCACTTGAGTCAAAATCTCAGTTAGCACAACCAGCAATCATGTAAGTGCGTAAATGAAGAAATTCTGATACCGGGATCACAGCTCAAGTGTGTAACTTGATCAGACGGCTGGGATTGTCGTTCAAGTAAATCTGGTGAGAGTCTAATTTACGGACGAGTCAACCAAGAGCGTTTGAGGGATTTCTTGGTCACGGCGCCAATCTCAGTACCTGATGCTCACGTACGATCGGTTTACAGCGGATTTTAGAGAAGACGTGATTATTGAGCGATTTCAACAGGTGGTAATACTAAGGAGTTCCTTTGTTTGTGACTGCGGTAATCAAATGACTGCAGTACCGTGTTCAGTCTGTCGTGATGACATTGTCTTTCGGTGTTCTTCATGTTGGAGAAAGAAGTCTGCTTGAACGCGTACTTTCTTCGTTCGATCGCGATCGAGACTGAGACAAATCATGATAACTGTCGCAAACTGGATAATAAAATCACCAGTAACACTGGCTGCAGCATTTGCAGACTGAGACTTCAGCTGTTCAGTGGTATGGGTATTGCAGGCATATATGTACAATGAAAATTACAAGCTAATATTACGTTCTTTGTTATATTACCGCTTCCATACTACTGTTTCATCTATTTCAACAATATTCCCAACTCTTCCGTACGACTCGTGTAAACGTGTCATCAACCTGATTGGAATTACCAAACATTTATAATTGTGGATTTTCAGCACCAGACCAACGCCAAACACACATCAATTTGGTGAATTTAAGTAAAGTAGCTATTTTCTGTTGTATTGGTAACAATTGACTTATATATATTAACATTGCTATCGATCTTCAATAACTTTGTTGATACTTTTTACGTTCATACGTTGTCTGGTCCACCACAATTATCTGGTGAGCCTTTGAATACATTATAGAAGTTATACTGCTTACATTTTTTTTACTTGGTACACTAGTCTATTTTGTTTTTTTCCAAACCGTGTACTCTCCCAGTAAGCTTATCGTTATGGATAGTCCACCAACCAATCCTTTTAATTCATCGCAGCCAGACGATAATATTTTAGGCTCAATCAATACTATTTCTGAGTTAAGTCTACCAACTTACGGCGTTAACAACCCTAGAATTTTGAAGTCTCATCAGTTTTTGGACATGTAAAAGAAGTATATCCACTTTAGTTGTTGGTTTTTTATATTAACAGTCTACTGATTGACTAATATTTCTCAAGGTCGCTTGAGATTCTTTCAAAGTTCGTCTATAAATCAGAGTGGTAAACAAATAAATTCTTTGCTTTATAAATACTTAACTAACTTACAAAACTGTATGAAAGGTGCTAATCCAGCCTAGTAAACGATCAATACTTTGTTAATGGAAGATCGTTTCTATTTTGCCGTTCCTATTGTTACATCAAATATGCTATTTAACTTTAACCCTGAGTTGGTACCATAACAACATTATTAAAAACAAATGATTCAAATGGTTCAAATAGTTATTATTATTAAAAACAACCTGTTGCTGCCCACAATGTCCAATAACCTCTAAAGGAGTTGAAGTAAATAAGTTGATTTCAGACATTTTGTGGCTTTTCGGTGCTTTAGCACTTATTTCACGGAAAATTCAGGAACATGAAGGTGAAATATTTCATTCTGGAATTTTTGCCAAAGTCACACTTTACGACTAGTACCTGGCGCGAATTACCTTCTCACTGTATCTAAATACCACGGTTATCTTTACGACTGTGCCACAGATAACGTTATGACAGAAATGTACTACTAAGAATAGGTATAAGGAATGTAGTTTGACCACAAACTAGGCCAATCCACGGCGTGCGCATCATTAATGTGCGTTGGCTGTCCTTGGCTTGGAAGAGAAACGGCGAGCTACTCAACAGTCAGTGACTTGATTACCAAATGACTTGGCAAAGGCGGTGACATGTCACTGACCATACAAGCGTAAATATTAGCTAATGAGTGAGAATATCAAGCTGCCTATTAGGAAACCAAAGCATGGCATGGACTTTAATTAGGCTTCTTCAAAAGTCGGTTTTTGTGCTCTATTTTTCGGCCAATAGTATAGCCTTCAATGTGTAAGAAGGTCAATGACTTCATATGACGTAGGTTATTCGTTGAAGTGAATGAATAGGATGCTGTAATTTATCAGGTTGAATTTCATGCAGTCTTCCTTTGCTAAGTCTTCAAATAGCTTGTGACAGTAAATAAATCCACAAAATCAATAGCTTTGTAAGTCATCAACATTTGATCCTTACAGTATTAGTTTTAATGGACTCACCTAGCTGAAAACACTTGGTCACATATGTGCACCAGATTATGAGTAGGTACGTCGTGCTTCCCATCTACGACAACTAGCCAGCTTAAATTGATTACCTCTCGATGTAACGATATTCTGTCAAATATAACTTCGAACCTTTTTGCTTCTGACTTTTGATTTGACTGGGTTGGCGCATTTCGATTATTAAAGGTGTTCCTGTTCAAGGCGTTGTCGAACACAGAATACTTTTTTAAGTTTGATGTCTCGTTAGAACTCCCACAAGAAACTTCATGTTCAAACTATTCATAATTTAACGTATGCGTTACCTATACTCGAGAGAATAGGCTTCCTAAACGATCAGTTATGGACGTACAAAAAAGACTTTTGATGCTAAAAGTATTCACTTCTTATGCACCCTACCTGATATTTGTCTGCATAGAGTTTCGCTGTCAAATTTAAAGGTTGAGGGAATCCACTTGGTCCACCTTATTTATTTAGGCAACGAGCGATATTAATTAAGAGAACACACACCGTCAATCTTAGGTCTAGGGAATTCGTACAACTGTATCATTACTGCAGAGAATTGAGGGTAGGTGACCTACACATATTTACACTTTCCTGACACATTTGTCAATGTGCCACAAAATATGTTTTCACAACTTACTACCAATTAACTCCAAACTTTCCATTTGGAATTAAACTCTATATGTTCTAATTTTTACATATTGCAGTTCATTACTAAATGTCATTCATGGCCTTTACTTTATGTGGATAATTACAGGTTCTAAAGTTAAAATAATACGGACTGGTGCGCGATAAGTGTGCTATCTTCTAGAGCACGTGGCCGGCAGCTTATCAGGATATTCCTTGAGCTATCAATTTTTTTGGAATATGCAGCAGAGAAAATTAAAACTCCAGCATGATTAGTGTCTTTGTCAGTCGAAATGAGGCTGAAAATTTCAGTCATTTTAATCTGGAAATACCATCTCACCGAAGCTCTCTAACATCACAATCCTCTTGAATAATTGCTTTTCTCACCTTTCTCGTTGTGAATTTTGCGGGTCCATCAAGGTATAAGCAACTAAACATTGCCCTTACTTGCAGAAAGGCTCGATATTCAGTAACAATAACAGTAAAACAGCCGCTGAACATATGAAAACTCTGTAGACGTTCGACTATATTCAATATACTGAACTCGATCATATTCATCAACTAATAATTCTAACCCTTTAGCATCAACTGGAATGGTGTAACTGTCTAACTTATGCAGTTGAAATTTGGAATTATACAACAATATACAAGGTAACCCGGCCAACTCTGACTCATTGGTCATTGGTCGTTCTGCTACTTCATTAATTTGTATCAATGTATTTATAAACAAATGAGGGGTAAGTGGTAGCATACAGGAAGGATTCTGTCATACAGACAGGCGTTTGTTCCATAATCTAGATTTAGGATTGCCCGCCACCAGTAACCTTGAACCGCTCAGGCATATCACTCAGTGTTCAACGATCGACCCTCTGCGGAGGGGACCATCTGGTTCAACAGATTGTCCGGATTAAGTCTATTCCTATTTTACAGATAATGTGGAGCAGGTAATAGGCCCTCGTTATGTAGTGAGTCAGGCGACCTAACGGTGTAATAGGAAGCAAGAGGAAGAGGCTCCTAATTCAATCAAATGAAAATCTCGTAATTCACGAAAAGGAAATTTGAAACATAATACTTGCCTAACAAAAAATTATACAACTACTTTATATACAATGTTCTAATACTAATAGGAAGTTATTAGTTGACTTCTAACTATCTTAATTTGGCTGCATCATCAACCTCCTCCTTAAGTCAGCTTCTTTGGGAATTTCGGCTCGATAACATAGGAATTTTATAGTTTATCAATTGTAGAAAATAACTCAGCTAACATACCATCTTTAGAAATCGACACTGAAAATTTCACAATAAATATGGTTTTGCATGAAAGTGACCCAACATATACACTTTCGTGATGTAACAATGCTTCATTTTTAAATGTGAACTTGTTTTTCTTGATCCCCTTAGCTGTATACTCCAAGATAGAAGATTGCAGTTTACTTTTTATCATAGTTTTTTATTTTCATTCGTTTCTAGTGAATTCTCATGATTCCTAAGAATCACACTTACGTTGATTTATTTGGCATTTTGAATATGGCAACTACCAACTTGTTCTGTTGCTTTTTTATTGTGTTGTACGGTTTAGTCCGTAGAATATTTCCAATAAGCACTTAGAAACCAGGTTGTTGTCTATATTATCGGTGTTTATGTCAAATCAGATATAGCATCGTCACCTGACGGGATTCCTTCATCATTTGTGGAATATGGGAGTAGAGAATTCTCACTATTTTGTTTGAAACTTTTCAACCTATCTACGGAATGTGGAACCAATCCATCTGTATAAAAAACATCTCTTATCACCGCTGGATTCAAAAGAGCATCAGTAGTGATATTGTTAACTATAGAGCAATTAATTTAACATCCGTACTCTCAAGAACCATGGAAAAATCATCCACAAACAGCTATTATCATTTTTACTTTCGGCTAGTCTGATTAGCCCATCCCAACACGGGTTTATGACTAAACGCTCATGCTTCACATAGCACCTGGAATATTTTGATCAAATTACCCAGAGAAGAGATGTTGGTCAGTCAGTGATAATTCTTTACTTCGATTTTAGTAAGGCTTTCGACAGTGTATCACACAAACTTCTAAGACTCTCTTCATTCGGCATACAGAATCACCTATGTTGGCTCAAATCTTTTCTAGAAGAACGTAGCCAAATCGTTCCCTTTGGATCTTGATACTCTCAACCTGTGAATGTAACCAGTGAGGATATATAAGTGTGATTGGTCCATTACTCTATCTCATTTTAATCATTGACGTGTGTTCCCTCTTTCAGTATGGTGAACCTTTCCTTTATGCCGATGACCTAAAAGTAGTGAACTCATTCTCTTCTCCCACCAAAGAAAGCTATATTTCAGACGTAATCCAAGACAAAATAAACAAGTTATACGAATGGACTGTTCCATAGAATTTTCCACTTAATGTTGACAAAAGTGGATTTATTCACATTGGCCGCTGCTTTAACTTAAATCTGACTATACACAAACATACACTGAGACCCCTCAACACTGTTCGTCACTTGGGTTTAAGATACAGCAACAGTCTGAACTTTTCTGAGCACGTTGCATCTCAAGCATCAAAGCTAGAAAGCTCATCGGATTCATAATGATGAACTTCAATAATATCGAATCGAGATTATTATTATTATACAGAAAATGTATCTTACCCATTCTTGAATATGGTATTATAGTTTACAGCAATTGTAGGCATAATATTCTGATTAAAATTTAAGGTGTTCAAAAAAAAGGGTCACCAAAGATGTTCTGGGGCATTCCGACAACAACGACTATCAAAACTGAAATAAGAACCTTTCTGGATCAGACGCATCAAATTAAACCTTGTCTTTATCTACCGGCTTATTAACGGTATTTCCTACACTTCGGTACCCACCACTTCATACTCTATTATATCCCACAATTTGCGCAATAAGGAAAATATTCTAGAGATTCCAAGAACCCACACAAACTTACGCCATAATTTCTTCGTTATTCGCTACTCAACCATGTGTAATAGACTGCAATGAACCTCCGTTGCAGTGAAACTGTAGTGGCATTGGGCCCTAACACAAGACAATACGAAAAATAGGCATTCAACATTTAACGCTGGGAAATACCGAACAATGAAGAAAGGCGGGAACAATAAATTGAAAGTGTCCCAGTTCATCGGATGGCATGGCTCGGCCTTGCAGGCGTGGTCCCATCTGAATGTTATCTTGTGTCTTCTATTCATATTAAATATATTCTATCTCTAGCCTAAGCTCGTTCTCTATCACGTATTGGTAATTGTTACAATGCAATGAATCGGTGTAGACGATGATGTAACTTCCTCGTAAGATCTTATAGATTAGGCAGTTACATCATGATAAATCTACAATTTTAGGATTAGGTCTATTATTAGAGCAGTGCTAATATCATAGTAGACCGTAATTCTACATTGGTGAGCCCGACTTAAGAAACGCAACCTCTTATTCTTCATTCATATTTCCATGGAAAGTTAAAG